TCATCTACTTTCAGAATCTGCTGTTCTTCGAAGGTGGTGTGGTGGTGGGGACAGCGTATTTTGTGAAAGCATTCAAAAGCAACGATAAAATGAACGGTACGATGGAATTATCCAAAATACGTCTGTATGCTGCACGTAGTTGTATACCATGAAACGGTAGCGTGCTTCAGTCGCCCCTTAAGTATCTAGAAGCGAGAACCGGAGCAAGAGGCCGAAAAACCGGGTTTAATGGAGTCATCATCAGCATCACTATCTCATCTTCATTGTCATCGTTTTCCTTGTAGTCGTCGCATCCTCATAAACGTCATTTGAGTCACTGTTTAATGAACCCTTTTTCGAAATTTTTCCGCGAAAATTACACCAGAGTCTATGTTTCACTGATCTCTCGTGGCATCGTCTTTCCACCAATCTAGAGGTCTTCGTAGAGACGTTTGATGCCTTTTTGGGGCAATCGCATGTTTATTTAGACCAGTGATAATCTGTTCTTCTAGTAGCACGTATAATCGATTTTCATATTAATTTCTTTGTTTCAGTACGTGACATCTTAGGTCTCTGTTTGTGCACATATCAATTTCTTTGTGTTTTTATATCTTCCTGTGATATTGTAGAAATTACGCAGACATTATACCATTAATTTTAAACGCTCCGCTACTGTGAGTGAGGTTGGTCCAGGGTTCGATTGGAAAGGCAGCACGGGTCTAGTGATGCTACACATGATTTTCATGGCCTGAAGGGCAACCAGAAATGGAAGTTTATGAATATCAGATTCTAAGGTAAACACGAGCAGCTGATGAATCAGGCGTGATGAAAAAAGGAGGAAAATTACGGCGCGAGTTTGCAATTCATGCATCACTCGATCGATAAAGTTTCACAACCGAACCGAACATTTGTAGAGGGAAAGTTCACATGGAAAAATCGAAAATCAACGAGGCAGCTTCTAATCAATCAATCCTCAAGACTGAATAATCAATACGAACTTGTCCTTCTCCCCAAATGTCATGAATGTCTGTACATGAATATTTAAACCGTTTCATCATTGAATTGCATACACAACGACGACAGTGCTATTCATCGTCAAGGTCGCAAAAATTTGTATAATGCGCATAAAGAAGCGATGAAACAAGGGCAGAATCAATTTCACGCTTTTAACAAAGGAATCGATTTGTCATTTACTCGAGTTTAGAAGAATGGACCTGAAGAAGAGCCGGCAAAGTGGAACAGTCTAATCGATGATGCGGAGATTAAGAAAACAGGGTTGGCCGAGTTAGAAAACAAGTTGGTTGAGCAGCAACGAACTGCAGCCGGCGAGCTCCTCGCGTCGAAACCGAACCCATCGCGGACATCGAGCAGGAGGCCAGCATGTCAGATGGGGGCAGAGCAGAGACACGTCTGCCTTCAGAGAGTAACTGCTCACTCTGCGATACTGTAGCCGATTCCTTGTAGCAAAACTGTTGCAAAGCTACGAATACAATGGACATCACAACAAACACGTGCACGCACAAAGTAGATGAGTCCAATGGTATTTGCTTAAGAACCGGCGATTCCAATTTTGACTAATGC